AGCCGAGGGCCTAGTGCAGCTCCAAGCACAGCGGGTTGGAAATATACCAAATGTTCTCCCATTTTGTCAGACTCCAGAACCTGCTGACCAGAACATTGCCATGTTTCTTTTTCTAGAACCGAACACAGCTAAAAGCCCTTTTCACCATAACAGCAGAAGAAAAGATAAAGGTAAGAGAAAACGTCTGACCTGAACACCGCCTTATGCCCACTGTATCTGACGGCTGTGGTGTGGAGCCTGTTGTTTTCCTCAGAGCCAAGGGGAGGGACCTGCCGCTGGTCTTGGCAGCCCAGACCCTCACCGAGGCTGGGGGCTCTGGGTAGCCTGGGGTCCTTCCGTGTGGCCTGAGGTTAGTTGCCTGGATGACCCCTCCATCTGGGCAAGATGCCTGGACAGGCTGAGGCCCGGCTCACCGGTCTGTGCTTCTGTTCGGTGGCATTCATACCTGCCCCGCGGTGTTCGGCGACAGGCCGCTGCCGGCCATGTCTTGTCTTCCCAAACCTTCCCGGAGCACGGCAGTGTGTGGCAGGCCTCCCTGCGCCTGTTCACCACGAGTACATTCCAGTCCTGTTCGTCAGTTTGATCACTCCCAGCTCACACGTGCACTCATTCATCAAGTGTTTATTCACGTTTCACATTTTGTAAGCACCTACTAGGGGCAGGCATTCCAAGTCATTTACATACGTGAATCGTGTAACCTTCACTACAACCTTGGGAGATAGATTCTATGTTTAAATCACCCCTATTTCGTAGATGGGGACACTGAGGCACACCTAGGTCAAGCAGTTTTCCCAAGGTCACATGGCTAGTGTGTCGGGGTTCCCAGCCGACCCCCAGGTTCGATGATTCATGAGGAGGACCCCCAGGACTCAGCACACAGCCGTACATGTGGCTACGACGGATCACAGAGGAAGGACGCAAAGCAGAGCCGGCCAAGGGAAGCGGCCGGTGGGCGAGGTATGAGGACCCAGGGGCAGGCTTCCAGAACCTTCTCCCAGTGGAGTTGCAGGACCTGCTACATTCCTCCTGATTTATGACAACACAAGTGAAGTGCTGTCTGCCAGGGGAGCTTGTTAGAGACCCAGAACCAGGGTTTTGTTGAG